TTAAAAAATAAAAATAATATAAAATTTTAAAATTAAGAGATTAAAATTGACATTTCATGATAAGAAAGGGCAGCCACCGAGTGGGTTAATGGGGAAGTTTGATTCGTCCATTATGCCCAGTACACAAGTGGCATGCAACAGAGTCTCTACTCAGTGTGAACACGCGGAACCTACCGTACACGAATTTCAACTCCAAAAATGGGTTCGTTCTTTGTTCACCTTTTTTTTTTTAAAAAGAAGAAAAAAAATTGCAAAAAGTTAGCTTTTGCTTTTACTTTTCAATATGGGAGGAAGGATACGTGGTGCCTTCCATTGCCATCAACCAATCAACCAATTATTGCATTCATTCTCCTCCTGCTAAGTTTTTTTTTTTTTGGTAAAGAAAAAACATTGACCCATGAGCTGAAATTGAGGCAAAAGAAATGTCTATATTCAAAATGGAGGCTGTTTACCTGCCTTTTCCCCTAGACTCTTTCAAAGAGAGGGTTCTGTCTTACTCGTGTAAGATGAGCAAGGTACAGCGTGTGTTTAGGTCATAGGAAAATACCACTTTGGGTAAACTTTCCTCGAAATTCTTAGTGTAAATTTGAGCTAAAACTTGCACATGCGAGCCATTAAATTATATAAAAAAATGTAAAAATTGATATTAATTTTAATATTAGTAGTATATATTAATTAATAATATTAATATTAAAATTAATATTTTTTTTTATAAAATTTAATTATTATATTTATTGTATTCTTAATTTATATGTTAATGGTAGATATTAAAAAACAAAAATTTTTTTTATTAGTTTTACAACAAACTTTTCACACTATTTTCAAAATAAATGCACAAAATCCTAAATAATATAGTAGTAATTCATGATTATATTTTTTTGATTCAGTTAGACATGTAAAATTATACAGTTTCACTTTTTTAATGTCCATTGTGAGAAAATTTATAGGTAAATTAATAATTTCACTTCTTCATCGATTAGCTTTTTCCTTTAAAATCTTTTATATTATATATATATATATATTTTAACAATATTGTTATGGACGGATTTGAATCTTATCAAGGAAGAGGAGGATGCACCTTAAGGTGGTCGGAGGTCATTTGACTTGAAGAATTAGGTGCAATCTCTTATATTACATTTGTGGGAAGAGAGAGAGAAAAAAAATTAAATTATCATATTTTAAAATATTATAATTTAATTAATAAAAGTTTTTTTCCCTCTTAACACTTTCATTTCTCAAACTTAAACAAATTATTAAATTAGTAATATTTTTCCTGCTAGGAGTACATGTTTGTTAGAGCGGATATTTTCTGTTGTCAGAACCTTTGTACTTTGTCAGTCTGCAGCCTCAATCCTTGACATCTACAATGATACGGGATTTCTGTACTAAGATAAGAAAATGAAATCGGTGGGGGAATTTCAAATTTTCAACATCAATTATTGGCCAAAACTCAGTATTGGAATTCCTGTCTGCTTTTTCCACAAGCAATTTTATCATCATCAACTCTGAAGAGGGTCGTGCACTCAATGGAATCAAATTCTTAACCAAATTTGGGTTAGCCCTTCTACACAACCCACAATTTCAGGAACCACTGTTTTTAGTATTCTTCTAATTTTGTCCATGTATATGACACAAGCACATGTTTAATTTTCCCTATATTTTAGTCCTAAAAAATTCCCACTATTCTGACCTCTGAGTTTCAATTAAACAGAGTTATCAATGTTAGCACATGGATCTTGTCAACACCCATCAATGATGTAAATTATAGCAAGCTATTTACATTTACAATAATTAATATGTTAGCTTCTTTTTGTATATGTTATACACTATTAGTTAAACAAATTTGACTTTTGTGATCATATTTTTAATCCAAAGTCCCTAAAATCAGCTTATTGCTAGCTAGGGTTCATTAGCTTTGCAATGTTCATGCCATGTGAATGCATTACAATTGCACCATTTTTCTTTGAAAAACCAATCATGATGTTCAAAGACTGGATAGGGACATTATCACTCATTCTGAGCCTTGCCTTTTATAAACTGCGTTTTAATATTGTTTTTTTTTTTTTT